ATAGTAGCTCTTGTATTCCAGCTAGCCTCGGACGAGCTATGTAACCGAAGATGGCTTTAAACTGATCCTCCTGCTTCTACATCTAGAGCGCTGGGATTACAGGCATGTACCACCACACCCAGTTTTCTATAGTGCTGGGATTGAACCCAGGACTTTGAGCATGTGAGTATTGCACCAACTGAGCTATACTCCAACCCACTGAGCACATTTGTTTGTGGGTGTGTGCACATGAGTGCAGGTGTCCATGAAAGCACCATATCGCCCTCAAGCTAGAGCTACAGGTGGTTATGCACCACCCAGTGCAGGTGCTGCGAACTGAACTCTGGGCCTATGGAAGCAGCAAGCACTCTGAACCCTGAGCCATCTCTTCCACCCCTTAAGATGCATTCTTTAAAGGGGCCACGTGGCCTTCCCAAGTGGGGCCTTTAGACTGCACAGGACAAGTGGACTTACCTGCTAGCATCAGGGCTCGCACACACTCTGTTCGGCCCTGCATGGCAGCTTTCATGAGGGCCGTGAAGCCAAACACGTTCCTCCTTTCCAGATCCAGACCAGGAAAATAATTCAGCAAGTAGTTGGTGATGGTGGTGTGCCCTGAAAGATAATTATATGCTCATGCAGGTTCATGAACCCATAAAAAGTGCTCACTTGTACAAGGCAGACAAAAGTGAGACACTGTGCATCCTTGACCTGGGCCAAGGTCTCCTGTGTGTTTGCTCTTTGGATTTCCTCAACAGAATTCTCCTGAGTCTAGGAAACAAAGGCAGGCAAAGACACTGCCCCAGCCACACAACGTTTTGGTTCACTTGTGGCCTTCAGCCTCCCTCCTACAAGGAGCAGAATTCTGTCAGGTTGCAGAGGAGTCCATGAGTTCAAAGAGGCTACAGCCACACACAGAACAGCTTTACTTCCCTGTAGAAAAGGTGTCATCAGCTCCCAGCAGGAGCCACGGGGCCAACAGATACAAGCTGCAAAGGAGCCTCAGAGCCATTTCCAAGTGCTCTGGAGCCTAAACTTATCACCAGATCAAGAGCATATTGCCAATTCATGTCAGCCCTCTGTCATATTACTCAGAAACCTGTTGCATCTCTCTCCCTCCATCCATCTCCTCCCCTTCTCTCTCTCTCCTCTCTCCTCTCTCTCTCTCTCTCTCTCTCTCTCTCTCACCCCCTCCATCCCCATCTCACACAAACACACACACACACACACACACACACACACACACACCCTGTAAGGAGTGCTACAGCCATGGGACTCAGCCATAAACCAAAGCAGGTAAGCAAATTCATTTTCAAAATATAAATTTTCCCCCTCTGTCACCTTGCTCCTCTAGAAGTGGATCTGATTTCCACTTATTTCCACAGGCGTTTCTAAAGGGCACCAGAGCAACTAGATGAAGATCTTGTGAAGAACAAAAAGCCAACTACCCACAAAAATGTCTACCGAGTTTCCCATGCCAGCCACTGGAGGCCAACTAGCCCAGCCTTTCTTAGTCCTTCTGTGATGCATCCCTTCCCACCCACCTCAGTGACTGAGAACAGGGTCCCTGTCCCAGCAGTCTGGGCCCTGGAGCTGGCTCTCGCTATGCTGGGGCTGTCCTGCTCACTGCAAGCTGGCTATTTAGTGTCATGGGTCCATATCCTGATGATGACAAAAGCAACCAGATTCCCATTCCTCCTCAGGCTATGACAACCAAAAATGTGTCTAGGCATTGCCACATGCTCTCTGAAGTGTGTGGGGGGGGGGGGATAAAATCACCTCCATTGAGAGCTGTTGTCATCACTATTTCATGACTACCCATAAAGATAAAAGACAGCTTCCTCTGTCCATCTCCTTCATCCCCCTGTGCCCATGTGCACCCTTCCCCTTAACTACCATTGCCATCCTGGCCCTACAGATCATGGCTAACAAGCCCTGGACAGGAGGAATCTGCAGATGTCTCTTTTCCTAAACCCCAGGCCATTCATATACCCCAAGGCTGGGTTGTCTGAGTGTCCCTGCCAAGCCCCACTCAACCCTTGCCCCTTTCAGCCCCACTGCCAGGACCACAGGGTGCGGCGTCGGGGACATTCCACACCCTCTCTGCAGTTAACTCAGAATCACTTCTTTACACACCCACTGCGGCCCAGAGTCTCCCTTCCCAGTGTGACTCCAGGGCAGAGGGTGAATGGGTGGTTCTGTGTGCTGCTGAAGGTTGCTGGCAGCTCCTAGGATCCTTGATTCTCTGCAGTGGCTGAGATCCCGACCGGGTGAGTATCCTTGGCCTTCAGCCTCTCCCAGCCCTTCCACTGTGAGCACATTATTAAATCCATCCAATATGCTGGGTGGCTCCTGTCTTCCCAACCACACTTAACAGACACAGCTGTTCAGGCTGAAACATGACCCACGTGGAATATGTGGCACTCAAGGTTGCTGTCCATCCCCCTAAATTAAATCCTAGGAATTAACATGTCACCAGCTCCAAAGTTAAAAATAAACAAGCAACATAATCTAGAGTTCAAATTCTTAAGAAATACTGCTGGGCTAGAGAGATGACTCAGCAGTTAAAAGTGCTTGCTGCTCTTGCAGAGGACCCTGGTTCAGTTCCTAGCACCCACATTAGGTGGCTCACAACCATCTCTAACTCCAGTTCCAGGGGATCCAGTGCCCTCTTCTGGCCTCCACAGATAATGCACATGTGTGGTGCACACACATATAAGCAGGTACACATACAAGCAGGTACACATACAAGCACATAAAATAAAAAGAAGTAAATATTTTTTTAAGAAAGTGTGGGGACCTAAAAGCCCCACCTTGCAGAGGTCCGAGAGGAAGTTACTGGGGCACGGCCTGACTTGTTTTAAAAGTCTGAAGGATACTTCCGCACTGCTGAGGAGTGCATGATCAGTGCGTGATCATCGTTAAGATATACCCTCAGGGGAGAGGGGGATTTCCAGATGCCTTTATAAGCTCTGTAACGCCTGCAATAAATGAGTTCCTGCTTGACTAGACTCCCTGTTGCGTCTGATTGTCCCTGGTACTGGGGGCAGCATGGGCTGGCAAACAGCGCACTTACTCATCCCCAGTCATCACTGCGCGGGGGTCGCTGGTTCGGACCCCCACAAGAAAGTACAGCTGGGGCTGGAGAGATGGCTCAGTGGTTAAGAGCACTGACTGCTCTTGCAGAGGACCCGGGTTCGACTCCCAGAACCCACGTGGCAGCTAACAACCATCCTTAACTCCATTCCAGGGGATCTGGCACCCTCTTCTGACCTCTTCAGGCACTGCACAACATGGGTGCACTTACATACATGCAGGCAGGCAATATACTCATACACATAAAATAAAAACAATAAAATATTTTTTAAAAAGAAAGCACAGCTATCCTGCCTACCACTGAGCTTAGTCATGTCTATGAAAAGGTGAACAATGTGCCTTCCCGAGTATTATGAAGCCAACAAGATCCACGGCTGTGGCCCTGGCTACATAATGCAGAGGTTCTAACTTGTGATGTTGCTTTTTGGACTCTCTGGCTGCTGGCAGTTGGGAGCCCATGCCAGTTCCATAGCTCTAAAGTATGGAACCTCTGATTTCAGATTGCCTGTGTTTCACTCGAGCACTTGCAGCGTCTGTCAGTCAAATTTATCCAGGGTCTCAGTGAGACAAATTGCAATTCGTTTCAAGCCATTTATGTCAGTCACAATTTTCAGCAGATGTTCTTTGTCCTGCTATATATGTCTCCTCGGCAGGCTGAACAGGCAGAGAAAAGAAGCCAGGAAATCCATGAAGCAAACTGTCCATTATACAGGTATGTCATGTACATTGTGTTGAGTTTAGAAAAAACAACATGCAGCCTGTGTCCTGACTTCAGCCTGAACCCAAGAATCAGTCCTGCCTACTCCCAGCACCTCTACTACATAGGAGAAACTATGACACATGACCAAAAAGAGTCTCTCTTTCTCTCTCTCTCTCTCTCTCTCTCTCTCTCTCTCTCTCTCTCTCAACACACACAATGTATTTATGTTACATAGTCTTTTTTGTATACGGGCATCCAAATTTGTACCACATTGAAACCTAGTTTGAATCTAGCCCAACTTACACATTATAGGAGTTAGTTCCTTTTAAAAAGTGGACTCACCACAGAGACTCAGAGACACACTACCTCCCCCAATGAGCCTTACCCTGCCCAAGAAAAGGGCACAGGCAGCCCAGGAAGTATGTAAATTTGGATGATATCAATTCAGTAGCTCTCAGCACAGACAAAGAGTTTACCACTACAGTTAAGAAAGTCTGCAGTGAAAACATTCAGGTTCACCTAGACCTGCCACTCAGAATCTCAGCTGACCTTGAGAAAGTGAGCCAATTTTTCTGTAAATATAAAATAGGGAGATGGTATCAACTCATGCGTATAAAACGTACAGTTGAGAAAGTGTTTTTTTAAAAGTTCCCAGCAAAATCGACAAAGCTCCTGGCAGAAAAATTCTGGTACATGCCCACAATCCAAGCACTTGAGAGGTAGAGACAGAGGAACCAGAAGTTTGAGGTCATCCTTAGCTGATAACAAATTTGAAGACAGTCTGGGGTACAGGACACCTGTCTCAAAAAATAAAAATAGAAAAGCCAAAAGATAAAGTACACAGAGAAAATGTGAAGAATCTCTGTGGGCAGTTCACTCTCATGAGGAAGAACACAGCTCCCAACACAAGCCCTGTGCCTAGTGGCTTCTCCTCAGGGAGAGAATATGAGAGGATAATATGAGAGAAGGGAATGGGGGGACCAACTTTGTGGTGAAAAACCTGTCCAGCACTACTCAGCCAGATCACAGTCATGTTGGCAGCAAATACCTTCGAAGGTGTGACCAATGGCCCTGGGCTCTCTGATGCTCCAGTCTAATCACAAAGAAAGCACAGACACAACCAAAATGAGGGATATCCTACAATATACTAAACCCAGTTCCCAAGTCTACCAAGATCACCAGCAAGAACAGTCTGAATGACATTACAGCCAAGAAGAGCCCAAAGAGACATAAAAGCAATGCGGGACCTTGAATGGGAACCTGGAAGTGCGAAATGCTATCAGGGGCCAGACTTGATGGTACACACCTGTAGTCTCAGCACTCAGGAGACAGAGGCTAAAGAACTCTTGCAAGTTCAAGGCCAGCCTGGTCTATATAGCAACCTCCAACCCAGTCAGGAGCACAGGGTCAGATCCCAGCACCCACGTGGCAGCTAGCAACCATTCTTAGCTCCAGTTCCAGGGGAACCAGGAGGGCCCTCTTCTGACCTCTGAGGGCATTGCATGGCACCGGTGCACTTACAAGCATGTGAGCACTACATTCATACACACAAAGTTAAAAAATAAATAATATATTTTAAAAAGAACAAAAACAAAAGGAAAAGGGCATCAGGGGCCATCCGGGGAAATCCTAATAAGATAGGTTTTAGTTTACTAACAATGCATGAATGTTGACTCACTTTCTGTCCCAGTCACACTAATGCAAGATCTTCACAGAGGAAAGTGGGTGCAACGTGTGCAGAAATCCTCTTTGAATCGTTGTACTTTTTCTGTTAAGTCTACACGATTCTAAAACTGAAAGTTCATTTTAAACGAAGTGG